GTGCCACTCCTTGGCATAAGGGGAGGTATTACTTACAACCCTTCTCCAACTCCACGCCAATTCGGTTATGCTCGAAGAGACGGTCCTTACGATATGCTTATCTAGGGTATTATATTCGATTACGAGAATGATCCTCAAGGTTACTGTCAAAGGTTTATACGTGCTTGGGGCATGGTGAATAAGATAGATAGCAAGACTTTGGGACACAAAAAATCAAACCCCTTGGAGCCTTACCTCAGATGGGTGCGCACTCGTGCTCAAGATCTTACAATGCCATATTATGTGGTCCTACCGGTAATTGTGGAGCCTGTTGTTGAAGGAGGTATTCCTCATCCATTTTTCATCCATATATGCCTACTGACCTTGAAGAGCTACAAAAGTATTGGGTTCAACCTAAAGAAGAAAGGGACACCTTTGAGACTCAGTTCTATGCTAGTGAGAAGAAAGTGTTGGAGCTGACAGAACGACTTCACAAAGAGCAGAACCTTAATGCATATGTCAACACAAAGAGGAAGCATCCATGGGATACTTGATTCATAATTTGTTTCTTTGTAACCCTCTTTGGTTATAATTTGAACTTAATAGTAAGAATCTTTGTTTATGTTCCTCATTGATTAACAAATTTAAATCCCACGAGGCCCATGAAAATGTTGCACATGCATCTACATGCCATACACATCATTGCATAACAGGCTTCCAAGACAGGTTTCTCATCTTCTTGTTGTTTATTACCGCAAAAATGTCTCTCGAACAGACAATCAAAGATCTCCAAGCTCAGAATGCTCATTTCCAAGAGATGTTCCTAAACCTATCTAATGGGAAACAGGGATTGAAAGCACTCCTCGTTGAGAACATGACCAAGAAGAATCCTGAAGACAACAAGGATGACCAGTTCGAACAACTACAAGCTGAGATGGAAAAGATGAGAATCTAGATGACTAGTTAGATGGATCTTATCCAAAATTTAGCTTAGGGGCAAGAAGAGTTGATAATCGTCATCAGCAAGCTTTATCAGGTTGGATACAATAGTATGGGACAAACTGCTGGAATATGGGGTCCAATCATTAACAAGTCTCCGATAAGACAGGAAACTGACTTGGTTGAAAGTAGGAGGGGAATAAGAGAGGGAAAGAGACAAGTTGACATTGATAATCCTTCGGTTAATGGAAAAATGCCTTTCTAGATTATTATTACATCACAAACTCAACAACAACCTCGCCAACAACAATGAGGTAATCAGCAAAAACAAGAGACCAAAAGACAATTCACAAAAATCAACATGCCATTGTCTCAAGAATTGCAACACATGTTGAATATGGAGTTGATTATGTTGAAGGATCCTCCTCAGAATCCCAATACTTCTTCTCCCAGTTACGATCCTAATGCAAGGTATGCTTTCCACTCCAATAGTCTGGGTCACGATGTTGAAAATTGTTGGGATTTGAAACATAAGATTCAGGACCTAATTGACGAAGGAATTTTGGAGTTCACACAAGATGGTCAAATTGAGTTTTTATATCATCTCTCAAATATCGAAACTGCAAGGTACACCATCTAAAGTGACAAGTTCAGTCGAAGAAGCGTTAAGATCATTTGAATTTTTATTTAATTTCTTTGGTTGGTTCAAACAATTATTGTTATGTCAAACTTTGGTTTTTCCCATTAATGAATTGCATATGTTTGTCTTGAATTAATTCGTTCGTTTCATTATATTTAAACTATGCTTATTACTTCCTTTTTTGTGGTATTCAACTCTCGTTAAGGCTATAAGCCTTTAGAGCGAGGATGACGAAAACTATACCATAATCTCATGCAGTATGCTTTTGAACAGACCTTACTGATGATGTACATGCATTGCTTTAATTCCTAAACAGTGGAGATATAAGGAAGTTAATCCCTAGTCAACCCCTTTGAGCCTAAGAAGTAGAATTTTTCTTTTTCACGCAAATTGAAACCCTTAAACATAACTTGGGGCATGGTATTTTCCCAGTCAAATCAATTATGCATTCACAGGATTTACCTTTGTACACGACAAGTAATGTCGAAGATATTCTTCTAAATCAAAAATTGATTATGGTTCCCCTTAATCATTAAGTCAGACAGTTGTTATCTTTCAAAACAAAGGTCTGCTAAGTCAAAACCTATGAAGGAGACTTAGGAAAAGCGGGGGCATCCCGCTGACTGTAATCTCAAACGAAACTATTCAAGCAAAAGTTAGGGATAATAAAGTCAAAATAGGTCGCTAAAATCCTCATCAAAATAAATATGATACAAGAAAAATGACTACCTTCCCAAATAATCTTCCGGCTTTGGAACCTTCAGCAAAATATCAGTTCTATAATTCCAAACTCTATTTGAACCTAAATGCATAATTAACTGAGTATAGGACTGACGAACATCATGGAGAACGGGTAGGGTACACATAAACTTTGAGCATTTATCCTTTGTTTCTTAAATTTTGAACCATACCACATTACAACCCTTAGAAGTACTAACTGAAGCATGGGTTAGTTCGAAAGCATATTGTTACAAAAAAGTATCCTTACTCCTGTAAGACTTACTATACATCCTGAGTTGATATCACATTCTTACAAATTTGGTTTTACTAAAAATGAATTTTTAAACTTCAAGACAGACATAAGCTTGGCATTTTAATACTACTGTTTGCATATGAATAAGTGTTTGACAGCAGAGAAATTTGCTTGACGAATATTCTATGAATGAAACCCTCCCAATGGACAAAATTACTTCAGATGATATGTCAAAGAGAAATACACTTCCAGTAACAAGCGTTTCATGGACCCAATTGGTTATAAATCAAGGGGCATGACATGTTATTGTCCAACTCATATGTGGCAGTCAAGTCAAGATTCAAAGAATCTTTCAAAAGTGATGAATAGCAAGGGGCAAATCTCTATCTGAGTCACTTGGAGCGAGTTACATTGATCATGAGTTTCAGCAAGAGCCACTATGAAAATTGAATCTTCGGTATCACCAAATTTCTTGTCCATGTCAATAGTATCATATGGTGTCATTCTGCCGTGACAGTTCTTAGAAAAATACTGAGGAAGGTCAAGACTATCAGAAAGTTGGCAATCAATGGTTGATCAATAAATTCAAACATCGGGGGCACCAGACTAATCCTAGGGGTAAATGGACATCTGCATACGAAGGGCCATGTAGGATCAAGAAAATATTTTCTGGCAGTGCTACAATACTTACTAACATGGACAGTGAAAATTCTCCGCACCCTGTGAATGCGGACATAGTCAAAATTACTACACATGAAAAAGAGACCCGCTAGGTAGATTGGCCTAGGAAAAAATAAAGGCATCCCGACGAACTAAAAGAGTTTAGGAAAAATTAGGGATATATAAATAAAATTGTACATTCGGCAAGTCGAAAACCTGAAAAGGCAGGTTGGGCAAAAAAGGGTATCCTGGTGGACTGAAAATCTAAAAAGGCGGTCCAGGAAAAAGTTAGGGATTAAAGAGTACGACTATGTCCCGTTTTCTCACTCTAATGAGCATTTACTAAAGGCTATAGGAGTTGGAGGTAATGTTCAAGTTTTCCATAAATCCCCACAGAGAAATCTCCATGGAATTATCTCTACAGAGCTATCTTCACAAGCACATCCCCAATAGAGATATATTCCCCAGAAAGTCTAATATACCTTAAGCGACTGGCAAAAAACACAGGCACGACTTGTATCGTTGTAGAACGGAGATAACATGCCTTTTGAAGAAATCTTTGATTTGTTGAGTGTTTTTGTTAAGTGTGGAATGAGTTAGAATAATGATTAAGTGTTTTTTTGGGTTTTTTTATTTAAGAAAAGAAAGTTTTAGTTTCAATTTACAAAAGAAAATTCTAAGAGGAAAGTCTACCCTAATGTTGTTATGCAATTATTGGACCTAAAGTTGGGTTTTTGAGGGAAAATCTAACCTAAAATGTTAACATACAGAGGTCGATCAAAAGGTTTATTTCAACACGAAACGATCAAAATGAATTTAATCACTTCACAGGATTCCTAAAGGGAACATGTATCAAAGATCGACCAAACAACTAAAATAAGAGAAATTAAATTCTAATCTAATATTTTTGCATTTTTGTCATGTAAAGAAATAAAATCGAAATTATGAAAATACATTACAAAACAACAACAAAAATAATACTCTAATTATCTTTTTATCATAAGAACCTAATTTTTTGTCATTTTATTATGTGAAAAAAAAATCAAGAAACAAATATTATAAAATAATTAAAACAAGATATATATAAAAAACAATATAAATGAAATCAAAAAAACAAATGGGGGGTATACTATAAATTTTTGCTACCGGGCTGAAAAGGGAGAAATTTGTTGGGCAGCTTAAGCCCAATAACAATAATAATCAGAAAAAATAAAACAAAAAAATGGACTTAGTAGCAAGCTGGGGCAGATTGGACCTGGGATTATCATGGAATTGGGTCGGGTTAAGCCCCAATGGATTAAGCATTGAAAACCCTAGTAGGACATATGAAAGGGCGGTTACGGCTGCCTCTTGGGAAAAAAATCCAACATTATCTCAATTAATTACTCCCAATTAATCATAATTAATAACAAATTAATCAAAATAATAAAATCTCTTTTCTTTTTATCACCAAATTTCTCTCACTCAACTCTTTCACTCGCTCTCCCTTTCGGTTTCTCACTTTATTCCTCTGTAATTCTAATGTCAACCCCATATGCATTGCCTTCCTCTCTCTCAATCTCTCAGCTTTTTGTTCAAACAAACAACAATCACTTTCTTACTTCTTCAGCCAATAGTTTTTGTAAACAAACATCTAAACTCTGGCTCACTCTCTTCCTTTATCCTCAAATCAAATCACAATAAGCTAACAACATACAACAAGAATGATTTAGAGATTGGTCAAAAAAGTTAACAACGGTGACGATCGAAAGGTGTATTGCCGGTAGTGAGGACGTCAATGCGGAGGTGGGGCCGATGATAGTAGTGGTGATGCGGTCGTTGGTGACGGATCCTGGCCGGAACAACTTTGTGATTGAGAGCACAAGAGGTGTGTTTGGTGTTGAACGGATGCTTAGACGAATCACGAATGACGGTAAGTTTTGGCTCACATATTCTTCTTCCTTTGATCTTCTTCTAAGTGTATGTATTTTGTGGCTTCTGTATTCTATTTTCGTTGTTTTTATTTAATGATTTGAACTGCAAATTGAGCTGTTGTGATGTTGTTGTTACAATGTTGCAGATATCGTTGAGGTGTTTATTGAAGTCTTTTGTGTCGTGTTGGTGATAAGTTGCAAGTGATAATGAAGGAATCATTGTTTCTCTTGGTTCGGGATTGTGTCACAGTTTGTTACATGGTGAGATGTTGAGTTTTGATTTGAAGGTTGATGGTGAAGGTTTATTTAGGAGGACAGTTTTGGTTGCAGGGTTGTTATTAGTGAATTTGAAGGTTGTGGATTAAAGGAGGTTTTTAAGTAAGTTGATGGGTTTTATGGTGAATGAAACAAAGGCTTAGGTTGGAGTTTTTTATCAGATTGTTTGTTTTTCTGTGTGTTCTTCATTCCCTTGTGTATTTTTCTGTGTATAATGCATCTTATATAGGCAGATTGATGGGTGTTTTAGGGGGAAAACACTAGCTATTTTGAACACTATGAGTGCATAACTTTGCTACTTTTATTGCAGATTCTGTTTTTGTTATTTGTATTCAACATTTGGGTTGATTTGGGGACTGGATTTGGCTTATTATCTCAGGTTTTGGATAGGCATGAATAGCAGGGAATTTGTTGTTTTATGGACAGGGCAGCAGCAAGGCTTTCCTCTGTTTGAAACAGGTTTTGGAGGTCAGTGGATAGTTTAGCAGGACTGTCTTATTGTGCCGAATTTTGGACTGTATTGTTTGGTTGTTTTTGCAACATGTTCTTGCAGATTTGGACTGTTGTTTATGGACTGATATGGCATGTTTTTGCAGCATAGCAGTAGCAGAATTTTAGGACTGGTTTGGGACAACAAGATTGTTTGTAACAACTGGTTTTCTTTGAAAATTTTGGACTAGTTTCAACATGATGTAGCATGGTTTTGTGTAGGTTTGGATTGTTACATATTCAAGGAAAAATGGTTGGAATATTGAAGTTTGGCAAAGTCATGGCCTAGCTTGAATTTTGAACATGAACACCATTGGAGATGAAGAGCTTGACAAGGTTTAGCATAGATTATAGATTTTAGTGTTCATGCCTTGAAGTGAATTCCCTTGTAACACTCCCATGAAATCTTCCATGTAATGACTCTCTTAATTCAATGGAAAAGGCCATACTATTTTTCTTTTGATGACATGGTGATGCTGGTGAAGTAGTGTAAAAAATGCTTGAAACTTTGAATGAATTTTGATCTTGAATTTGAAAAAAAAAACTCCTCCACTTTGTTGATACTTGAATATAATTCAAAAATCCAAAAATTAAAGATTGTCATGTTTGAGCCTTTGTTATATTTCATGCCCAATGAATTTATATGAAGTTATGTATCCTTTACAATTTAAAATCCTTAGAATCATATTAAAAGAATCTAAATAAATTTCACTTAGTTTCATGTTCTTTTCCAAATTGTTTTGAATCCATGAACATGCTTTCTATATTTACCAATACTTGAATCCAATAATAAAATTCACATCTAGTTCAAAGAACTTTTGCAAACCCAATTTGAATCCAAGGATCTTAAATTAGATTCCAAAGAAATGGCTAGTACCAAATGTTCATAATACCTTGAATCTTCGCATCATGATCCACATAACCCTAATTGATTGACTGAGGAATAGATGAACCAATTGCACTAATGCAATAGCAATTGCTTTATAACTCAGTCAACAAAATGCGCCTTGAATTGATGAAAGATGGACCCTCCAGATAAATCTCAATACGCTTGCAATCATCCCTTGTCAACCCTTCCCTAATTAACGAATTTCAGCACCAAGATAAACGCTTAATCCACACAAGATAAATCCTTAATGAGTATTACACCATATCTTGACCGACTGTTGAGGAGAATCCAAACCTAATTCCCTTCCATGCTCTATTAGAAACAACAACTGAATCAAGCTCAACTAACACACCTAACTCAATCCATATGGAAACTCTAATTTACTCAAATTATGATCCTTGAACCCAAGTGCATTGTCGAATGAATGATATGCAAGTGACCTAATGATCCAAATTAAATTCAAAGCCTAAGCCAGATAAAATTGAAAAGGTAGGGAAATTTTGGGGTATGACAGCTGCCCCTATTTAATCGTCTTAAACCTGAAAGTAAGATTGGCGTCAGCCTTTCGATCATTTAAGGTAGAATAAAATTAAATACCAAGACCTAAAATTTTTCCTGGAGAGATGGTGTAACTGTTATTATTTATGATATCTTCTGGGGATTTAAAGAAAGGATCGACATAGACGAGTATTGAAAGAATATACAGACGATCGTTAATAAAAGGTTAACACGAACGAGTGTTTGAAGATCCATACAGACGAGTATTGGAATGAGATACAGACGGGTATCAAAAAGGTAATAACATGGACGAGTGTTTTTGAAAATTAATAGGAACGAGTATTGAAAAGAGATACAAACGAGTATCAAAAGGTAATAACACGAACGAGTGTTTTGAAAATCAATACGGATGAGTGTTGAAACGAGATACGAATGAGTATCAAAAGAGTAATAACACGGATTAGTGTTTGCAATCAATACGGACAAGTATTGAAATGAGATACGGACGAGTATCAAAAAGTAATAACATGGACAATTGTTTGAATATCAATATATATGAGTATTGAAAAGAGATACGGATGAGTATCAAAAAACTAATAACACAGACGAGTGTTTGAATCTCAATATAGACGAGTATTAAAATGAGATACGAACGAGTATCAAAAGAGTGATAACAAAGACGAGTGTTTGAAGATAAATATGGATAAGTATTGAAATGAGATACGGATGAGTATCAAAAAAAGTAATAACACAAACGAGTGTTTGAAATCTATATGGACGAGTATTGAAATGAGATATGGACGAATATCAAAAGGTGATAACACGGACGAGTGTTTGAAATTAATACAGACGAGTATTGAAATGAGATACAGACGAGTATCAAAAAAGTAATAACACAGACGAGTGTTTAAATATCAATCAAGACGAGTATTGAAATTAGATACGGACGAGTATCAAAAAGCATTAACATGGACGAGTGTTTGAAAGAGAGGCACAAACCAGTGTTTGATGGTTAATTTGCTATCTTGTATGACACTGACGAGCAAGTATTTTGCGTGAAGTATCTTGGGAAATTTTTTGTAGATATCAGATGGAGATTTGTGGGGATAACATCCTCTATGGAGACATATAATTGTTTTGATTAGGAATTGAGTTGTATAGTGTAATGATGGGTGTCAGTTGGGAAGTGTGAGGATGGCATTCTCTGTGGGGGGTGTTTTACTGTTTCAAGGATTGATTTGGGCTTTCGTGCAAGGTACCAAATCTGGCTTATGCTTCGTATACATTTTGAAGTGTATGGCGTAATGATACATTTTAATGGATATGCTACGCGCTTGAGGATGCAATGTAATATATAGTGATGATTACTATATGCAGAGTGCCAAATATTAGGCTTATTGGGGTCCGTTGCCCATTGTCTTTGATATACCAATACAGATTGGTGCCTGAAAACTTGAGAATTGAGTTATAGCCTTGTTGGGGATTGAATTGCAGTCTTGCTGGGGAGGAGTAGCTTGATCTGACTTTCCCTACATCCTAGACGGCTTGTGGATGGCTGGGTATAGACATAGACCTCATAGAATGCCCCTAATTACCTCAATGTTGGAGAGTCGTGTGCTCAACCGTCTACAGGGGGAGACGATGACAAAAGCTAGGTCGAGGTGACCGTTACGACTTGCTACCTAAATAGAAAAACAACATTTGAATGCCATTGAACTCCCTTGGGATGCCTTCATGTCAATGTAACATCGTACTTCACGTCTTAGTTGTTGATTATTATTACCTTATTGTTTTCAATGTAATGTTTAATAAAGAATTTAAGTCATAATTCACATACGAAAAATAAAGTAAAAAGACATATCAAAGAAACTTTTTTGGTGAAAAGTCAATTTTATTAATGAGATTGGCTTGTGAATAGGCATTCTTACATGGAAACAACTCCTAAATGAGGCAGTTGCAAAGAAAAGAAAAAAGACAGCAGGTGAAATGGAAATAAGAAAATCTCAAACTTCCATTAAAACTGATATTGATATAGTTCCTGTATCCTTGATCATCTTAGTGCTTTGCTTCTAAAGGGTAAAGTTGAATTGATCCATCCAGTATTAGGAGTGTATATTGTTATTCATGAAGAGTTTTCAGACTACAACCTCTCGCTACTAGGTTCTAATTTTTGCCTTGATCGCCCTTTCGAGTTTTCAATCCACTGGGATACCCATTTTTTCCTAAGTCGTCCTTTTGGGTTTTCGACTTTGCGGGTTATACTTTTTTTTCTTTCTTTTAGCCCTAACTTTTTCCTAAGCCGCCCTTTCCGGTTTTCGACTTAGCGGGTCTTTTTATGCGTAGTATTTTTTTAATGAGTCTAAATTAACTGGAAGTGGAACGTCTTCCCCAACCATGTCTGTCAAGATTAGAGCACCTCTTGAGAAAGCTTACTTCATGATGTATGGTCCCTCATAGTTGGGAGTTAACTTGCCTCTTGGATCAGAGTGAATTGGGAGGATCTTCCTTAAGACCAGGTCCCCCGTGTGGAACTCTCGAGGTCGAATATTCTTGTAAAATGCTCTCTTGACTCGTTGTTGATATAACTGACCATGACAAATGGCTGCTAGGTGCTTCTCTTCAATGAGATTGAGTTGGTCGAGCCTCGTTTTAATTCATTCAGCTTCATCAAGCTATCCACCAGAACCCTTAATGAAGGAATTTCCACTTTGACTGGGAGCATTGCGTCAAAACCATATACTGACGAAAAAGGAGTTTCCCCAATGGAAGTATGTACAAAAGTTCTATAGCCATGTAGAGCAAAGGGCAACATCTCATGCCAATCCTTGTATGTTCTCACCATTTTCTGGGCGATCTTCTTTATGTTCTTGTTAACTGCTTCGACTGCGCCATTCATCTTCGGCCGATAGGGAGATGAATTATGTTGCTCAATATTGAATTCTTCACACATCTCCTTCATTATTTTGTTGTTGATATTCGACACATTATCAGTGATTATCTTGTTAGGAGTCCCATAACGGCATATGATTTCTTTTTTGATGAAGCGAGTGACGACTTGCCTGGTCACATTCTTGTAAGAAGCCGCTTCCATCCACTTGGTGAAGTATTCAATAGAAATGAGAATGAACTCTTGTCCATTTAAAGCGCTTGGTTCAATTCGTCCAATCATTTCAGTGCCCCACATTATAAAGGGCCATGGTGAAGTCATCACATTCAAATGAGTGAGAGGAATATGTATCTTGTCTGTGTATACTTAACATTTATGGCACATCTTCACATACACACAATAGTCACTTTCCATTGTCATTGTTGTACCCCAAAATATTCCCTCCCATTTTATTCAAAAACATGCTCACAAAGGTCTCAAATACTCAAAGCTACTCAAGAGTTTACTGGTCAAGCCTCCTCCTAAGCCAGGGTCTACAGATAGGGTTTTGTGCTTCTCAAGGAAGATGGCGTTGAAAGGGTCTCAAATTAATTTCATGGTTCATTATGGGTCCTCAATTATTCCTATGTCAAGCTTCAAGTCTTTCATCACATGTTTGCTCAGTCAATGGCTCAAAAGATTGAAAGTCAATTGTATTAGGTAAAATGTCAATTATTACTAATATACAGTCAAACTTAATTTTTTTTATCAACATCAAAATTTTGAGGTGATATTCATCATTTGAACAAGGTTTGATCATGATTCCTCAAGGAAAGCCCTCAAATCATCAAAGGTCAAAAAATTGCCAAATTATGG